GTATCTTGCTTTTATTCTTATCATGCCTACTTCTTCATGCTTTGTTATTATTGTAATTATATGTCACTTTATTGTTCTCATATTCGTCTTTATTACATTTCACTTTGACTTTTATTATTCTTCATTTTGTCTTTACTTCTATGTTGCTTTATTCTTGTAAATTCATTCTACTTTCTTTTAAACTTAAACAGTTTCTTTAATAAATTATTAACATTATCTCTACTACGAATGTTAATTCAATCACGCTAATAATGAAGCATATTCAATGAAGACGAATGGAACTTGTCAAACCGTCAAAATTTAGTGAGGCATTATAACGCTAGGGGGCGTGGTGTTCGCTACGAGTGTTGGTAAAACTAGGTAAGTAAACCCGGGTCGGGTTATTTGAGATTCTTCAATATACGCCTTAATACTTTATCAATCGAACTTCTGAAGGCCGGATCTGATCTCCCGATCCAATGATGGAAACTTTATATTTATTTTCTCTGGGCACACAGGAATAGCGGCTTCTTTTTTTCAGACATAACTTTATACTACAGTGGCGTAGCATCGTTTTTGAAAGTGGGGGGGGGGGGGCAGCCCGAGAATTTTTTTTTTTACTTACCTGAGAAAGTTGACAAGCGAAAAAAAAAAAAAAAAAAAAAAAAGGGGGGGGGTAAGTAAACTTTTTCTCAGTGTCAACTACTTTTAGTACCAATTCTAATACTACATTTTTGGTACATCAATAAAAGTCTAAAAGTGGGGGGGGGGGGGGCAACCAGGCTTTCAATTAACATTTCCTATAGTACAAGTAAGGTTGGTAAAAAAAGTGGGGGGGGGGGGGAAGGCCCCCCCGGCCCCCCCTGTTGCTACGCCCCTGTACTATACTGAATATGTCATTTAAAGGCCGACCCACTTTTTGTAAGAGTAAGGGTCAAATAAATAAATGTAGTACGTATAGTAGGAAGAAAATTTAAAGCAAAAAAAAAAGAAATGTCCATTTTCAAAACACAAAAATCCTATTTCTTGAGGAGGGGTGGGGTGGGGGTGGGTTGAAGGTTCGAACTCCAGTGCCAAAGTTTTTTTTCCAAATACCACCACTTTCCCCATTTTAAACCTTTACTGCATCGTGTCCATGGTAAGTGTGGGGGGGGGGGGGGCTAAACCTACGCAGGAATGTTCAATGTCTATACTAAGTCTATCTTTGGAAAGAAGTGGGGGCTAAGCCCCCCCCCTCCCCTCCCCGGTTCCGACGCCTATGTATTTTCAAGTTTGGACAATTTCCTGGGGTTATTTTGCGCTTGTCAAGTTGTTTTCAGCCGGGTAGCTTGAATATTTATTCTCTTGTTGCCCCCCTCCCCACTTTCAAAAAAAGATGCTACGTCACTGTTCTCTCGCCTGAAAAATATAACTCTACTAAAGTTATTTGTTGGATATTTGAATTACAGTTTAATTGTTGTAAAAATGTTAAATATTTTGATACTAGTTAACCCTTATAGATTGGGTTGTTTTTCAGAACCTTCCACCGAACTGAACTTTAGAACTGAACTTTATTTCACGACAGATAGTAACTGCTGATGTGCGTGATTCTCGGGACAGGGCTTTGCAAAGGAGTGAGGAGCGTTATGGGTAGGCAGGCGCGGATCCAGAATTTTTTTCCAGGGGGGGGGGGGGGGCAACCAAGTAAAAAAAAATCCAATCCCAGAAATTTCTTGACAAGCATAAAAAGAAGAAAAAAAACCTAAACTCGCTCAAACGTCAAAATTCTATTTCGTGGGGGGTGGGGTGGGGGTGGGGTAACTTTTTTCCTTGTTTTAGTAACCTTGTTAATTCCAGGGGGTTTTACCCCCCCCCCCCTCTAGATCTGCGCATGGAAGGCGAAGTCGGAACCAGACTACATGCACCCAGGCATACGAGAAACACCCCGGTCTTTTTTTCTGCGTTAATATTTTATATTAAAATAGCACTTTTCAATAAAGAAAGAAATATCTTGGTGGTGGTGAAAGGGGGGGGGGGGGGGTTCGTCAACTTTTTTCAGTAATAAATTTTACTCATATGCCACTAAGTACATGACTTTTAATATATAAATTGACTATTAGTACTGCAACAAAAAGTGTCAGGGATAAGGGATGGGGGGCAACAAGCCTTTCGCTGAACTTTTCCAGTAGTAAAAAGTTACGTTTGGAAAATGTTTCTTGGCCACCCTCCCCTCTACCGATGAAACTTACCCCATAGGAGGTCGTCCACCCGGAAGTCAGTATATATATTGAGACTTTGGTGGTGTGATTGTACATTGTATAATTTCCTTTTCGAGAATTTTTCACTCAAATGGAGAAGCCACCTCTTGCCGGTGGAGAGCTGCAAATTTGTCCTATATACGTATTGAGCAGTGAGGGATCTTTTTTCGTGCCAGCACCTACTGCGACACGGGACCTCGGATAATACGGTATAGATCTCATCCGAAGGACCGAACTCCACATCCTATAGTGGGATTCGAACCCACGACGTATTGGTCGCACCCTTACTACTGTACTTCGTGACTCTATATTCTAGCAGACGCCGTAACCACAGTGCCACGCGGGCGACTGCATCCAAGGGGGGGGGGGAGAGAGAGAGAGAGAGAGAAAGAGTCATTATCCATATGTACTCGTGAAGATTATCTATGTTTAACAAAATGGTTAAACTGATTTAATTATAAAACACTATTAAAATGATATTATTTAAATATTTATTTATATAGAGAACGGATAAATTTTCTTCAAAAACTGAAAACGTTAATTAGTATATATAAACATTGTTTTACGATTTTAAAAAAATTTAAAAATTTAAGTTTGATTAATAAAGTATTAAGGCAGTGAAAAACTCGAATAACCCCGGCACGGGTTTGCTTACCTAATTTTACCAACACTCTTGGCGAACACCCCTGCCACCTAGCGTTATAATGCGGCACTAAATTCGGACAACTTGTATTCGTCTTCATTGAACATGTTGAATATGCTTCATTGCTTGCGTGATTGAGTTAACGTTCGTAATAGTTATAATCATTTAAGAAACTGTATCAATTTAAAAGAAAGTAAAATGAATTTACAAGAATAAAGCAACATAGAAGTAAGGGCAAAATGAAGAGGGATAAAAGTCAAAGTGAAATGTAATAAAGACGAATATGAAAACAATAAAGTGACATATAATTACAATGATAACAAAGCATAAAGAAGTAGGCAGAATAAGAATAAAAGTAAGATACATAGACTTTTGGCGGTAATTCCCTTCTATATTTAGGCTATTTCCTTTTTTTTTTGATTGTCAAGTTTTTTTCAGGTAAGTTAAATTTCTTTTCTGTGGCTGCCCCCCCCCCCCTTCCCGATGTCAAAAACGATGCTACATGTATGTCACTGCATGTTGTTATAAAGTCGATCTAAATTTTATAGATTTATTTAAGAACCATATTAGACAATGTTATCATCCATGGAGGTGATTTACATATTTATCTCGAAGGAATATAAATATTTGTAAAATATAAATTTAATCAGATTTCATTTTATATTTCATAATTTATATTTAGGCTAATAAATACATGTCGTAAAATACACTGTATAACTACCGGAGAAAAACAAAAGATGTGGCTGCATAGGCTTGAAATCTTATCTAGTCATATTTCCTCTCCTTTACATGAACATTGTGAATTACATCTAATTTTGTCCTATGTCACTAATAGCACATTAAATATGAATTTGATAAATTAATTCTTATATATAAATGAAGATATACTTGTTTTATAGTGTGTCACTAGAATACCAATAATCCCTTTCTTCTTTTAATTTCATGATATCATGTGTGACGATGTTAACATGACCCCCCCTCCCCCTCACAAAATGGAAATTAACTATCTTTTTGAACTTGTACGTTAATTTCGTGTATTTGTGGATTTAATTGTGCACTGTCCTAACATTTGCGATCATTTTACCATAAAAGAATTCTTTGAGATTTTATTTGAGACTGGTATCCATCAATCTCAAGATTTTCTGAGAAATCTCAGATTTTTTTCTCACCTGAGTCGGGAAAAACGTTGGTGGCACGCCTCTTTGAGAAAAATCTCAGACTTGAGAAAAAATCTCAGATATGAGAAAAAACTCAAAAGATAAGTCTGAGTTTGAGAAAGTATATGTTTGGTGGCACAGTTTGGTGAGAAAAACTCAGATTTTCTGAGAAATCTCAGACTTGAGAAAATCTATTCAAAAAACCATATGTACCCTCGGTATCTATATTTTATAAAGGGGGGGGGGTACGTCCTGTCCACTGGCAAGCACCTTTGGTACTTGCTTTTCTGATCATAGATCTGTGCACATATTTCATTTCTTAAAAAGCTTATCTTAATTCTCAAAAATATCTACCTTAAAAATAAATATAATTTAGTAGTCCCTGGGCTTTAATGACGATCATAGCTATAGCCTAAGGGCTATTTTAGTTATTTTTTTATTGTCCATTGATTAGGATAACACCCGAGAGAGTTTATCAGGTCAGGCCAAATATACCAAGTTCAAGTTCATTTATTTCGATCACTCACACCAACATCAGCGATACCTGAGGTAGAACTTTGAATTTTAACATTTCTACCACGTCAATAATAAATTTAATTTTAATATTCAATTTCTTGTGGTTTAATTTATAGTCCTTCCATATATTCGGGATTCTTTACTGATCATGTTTCTCGATCATTCATTACTGAACTGTTTTAGAGAAAATGAGTTCTTCTGATATTCTTTTTATAACTTTTATCAAATTTATTTTTAATCATATGTTATGTTTTATAAGCTTGATACAGTGGGTAAAAGTTGTACTACTCATGAAAACTCGATGGAAAATATTGTATGTAATGAAATTCAGTTACATAAAAAACATCTGAATTTTGGAAGAAAACAATTTGTTTTGTGTTATTTATCTTTAAGAAGGGATTTGCAGAGATCCTTCTGCATCTTAGATGCGGGTTTCCTAAAATTCAACATCTCAACTAAGTACGACTTAACACTCACCTTTTTCGATTTCGACCTTCCGGTTTTCTTTTTCGAGAACCGCTGAGGTAGCGGTTGAATTAATTAAGGACAAAATGGATCCGCAAACGTTCCTGGATATCGCCACAAAGGTGACGAAGTTAAAGATGTACCCCTATTTCGACATTGCTCACTACACTCTCATGTGCATGGCGGCACGGGACGACGCACCGGCGAACGCCGCGGGTAAGTTGACCCCATCCCATATAAGGATATTTTATTGTCAGATGTACGATTTGAATTTCCGCGGTCTTGAATCTTATTTAGACATAAGTTTGTTTTTTCAAAGAATTACTTTACACTTAAGGTTCTGAACTTTGATCTTTATCCATTCCTCTATTTTCGCATTCACTGATCTTGACAGAGCGACTGAATAGGGCTTTGTTTATTGTGGATGTGTTGTAAGAAATAATTTTTAAAGGATGACTGGTTATTATTTTTTCATATTTGATTTATAAATTGTGTACATTTTCTGGAAGCATAATTCTTTCTATTTTTCAAGAAAATATTGACCAGATGTAACATACCTTGAATATATCTAAAACATCTGTTTTACATTATTATGACAATCTATTTACAGAAGAATTCTGATTACACTAGGTGTGAAGAGTTATCATAACGTGAATTATTAGTAATTTGTGAGAAACACAAGGAAAACACTGTTTGACTCTTAATGCTAATCACATGGTTTGTACATTTCATAGTAAGATAGAATATATTATTTTCCCCTTTGGCAAATTCATTGATCATGTTAAATAACAACATGAATATCATCCATGTAAAATTTTAGCTACATGTAAAATTACTGATAAGTAAAGAGTAACAGTGGGCTACAGTAATTGAAAGGGGGAAGAAACTTAGATTCTAGATTAGGCTACATAAATGATATTCTCTGATTCTCAGGCCAATCTCCAAAACAGATTTGGGGGGAGGCTTTAATTTATCATTTGGTGGGTGGTACAATAGATGAGTAAGTTATTTTTTAATACCCAAATTTTCCATAAAATAATGATTTTTTGTTGTTGTTTTTCAAAGGTATATCTTCCATTTCTGATCAATAAGTCTGCATTATCCATTGCTTAGCAACGTGTGAACATCACAGACATTATCTTTGAATGTTTTTTTTTTTATGAAGTAACCAAGACTCTTTGAAATGGCTAACCTAAGCCATATTGGACTACTAGACTACAAGAAAATGAAGGCTGAACCTTTTTTCCAGATTGGTCTCTGCACTACTAACTCTTTATTTTATCAAAAATACAATGAAATTTCAAAGTTGACTACCACAAAATGGATTTGCATGGGCTTGAGAATTGTCATTTCAATTTTATTTAGCCTTAATAGGAGGATGGTACATGTTGGCTTAGGGGGGTTGTATGATGAAAAAGAGACTAGGCTAAATTATTTTGCTGTATTGAATCTACTTAATCCTGCTATGAATGTATTATATATGTATCATTATATATATTCAAAATGAATGACTTAACATATGTGTCTGTTGAATTGTAGGGGGAACAGCTTTTTCCAGAAAGCACCCCCTCTCCTGCTGGGTGTCGTCCATGTTGCTGTGTTTTGCGGGGAGTCTGATTGCAAACTTCTTACTGGGAGAACCTATTTTAACACCATTCAAGGATCACAACTCACTGCTGACTGCCTCAGTTGTATGGTATGTCCTGTTGTCAAGGCATTCACACAAAGCTTATTGCATTCTTTTCCTCTTTTGCCATCAGTAATGCATGCATTAATTTTGTTTCTGAATCAGATCTTGAAAATAATCTAAAATCACATCACAGATGAGATGAAATTTTTAGAAGTTATAATAATATTTAATTCTCTTGTTTATTGTCTTCTTCCAGGTACTTGATATTTTATTCACCATTTGACATTGTATACAAAGCTGTAAAATTCCTACCATGTAAACTGGCAGTGGCAGGACTAAAGGAAGTGCAGCGAGCTCACAAAGTGTACCACGGCGTTGTTTACACGGCCAAAGTGTATCCTAACTCTGTACTCATCATTCTCCTCATAGGAACAATAAAAGGTAGGAACAATAAAAAGGTAAAATGTCTGACAAAGGCACTGAAAGACCAGTACAACAAAACCAAGGTGATCATCACAAATGTTAATCTCAGTGAAAAAATATTTAGTTACAAAATCTAGGACAATTGCTATCTTATACATGTAGCTTGAACAAAGAGTGATAGTCTTGAAAGAGTTCATATAGGTGTATGGTTTTACCAATGTGTATAAAATATATGTAAAAACCAAACTGGTAGAAATTTTAAATTCTTTTCTCCTGTGTCTTGAGTTATGTCCCTTATCAGTGTCATGAGTTATGTCCCTTTACAGGAGCAGGAAGTGGTTTAATGAAGACATTTGAGAGACTGGTCAGGGGATTATGGATTCCAGGGACAAACGAAGTACTGCAGCCCTCATTGTAAGTTTATCTGTTGATTTTTTGCATCATTAATCAAGAGGAATGCAATTTATTCTAGATTTTGAAATTCAGTAAATTGAATTTCTAAGCATATTAGGCTATCTAAATTTAATTCCCTGGTTCTCAGGCCAATTTTCTCCAAAACAGATGCGGGAGGGCGGCATTTTATTTTTCATTTTATTGGCAATAAAGTAGATGAGGGAGGTTTTTTTTTTAATTTTAAATTTCCGATTTTTCTTTAACATAAACATAATTTTTTAATCACAGATATACTTTCCATTTCTGATCAAAATTTCTGCTTTATCCATTGCTTAACAGCATGTAAACATCGTAGGTAATGTCCTAGAATGACGAAGTAGCCAAAATCTCATTGTAAATGGCTACCGGAAGTGATATTTGAATACTAAACTACAAAACAAATGAGGTCGGAATTTTTTTTCCCGGATTGGTCTCCGCAATACCAACTTTTTATTTTATCAAAAATACAATAAAATCGGCAATGCGGCTACCTCAAAACGGATGCGCGCGGGCCTGAGAACCAAGATTTCAATTTTATATGGCCTTATCAACCACAAGATTTTTACTTTGAGTTTTGATATCTTTGTATATTTTTTTTTTTTTTTTTTTGTCTTGGTGGATTCTAAAAGTGTTATAATTGATTTATTACCGTAACTTCTAATTTTCATCCTATTCAAATATTAAATGAGATTTATCCATACTTTTATATCAAGTTATGACCTTGACCTATATTTTCAGTGTTACGAAGGCCTGTTTTCTGGCATCTCTTGTGTTTCTTATGGAGAAGATGAACTACATCACAGCCCCTCACGCCCTGGTGTATTTCGGTGTAGTCATTTTCTTTGTTTACTTTAAACTCTCTGCCCTGCTTCTTGGCATCCACGACCCGTTTGCTCCTTTTGAAAACTTATTTTGCGCAATATTCATGGGAGGAATGTGGGATGCCATGAGACGAGCAGTTGCCACAGAAACCAAGAAAGAAGAGAAAGACTCGGACATTCCAGTGAAGAGTCGAGAAGACAAGAAGAATGACTGAACAAAGAAAGGAAACATGAAATTTGGTGTTGTGAAATATAGGACATCTCCTTCCCCAGATCTCCTAGGCTTTTGAATTTATTTATCCAAGAGTTTGTGTAGATGTATTATCTTCATCTGTTATGACAGGAATTAGGGGTGTGTGTAACTTACAAGGTGTGTACAGAAACATACAAGGCCTGAAGGGGCGTGGCCTCACCTCAGAAGTTTTAAATAACAAGGTCAGGGATTATAGAGAAATTCAGTAATTAATTGTGCTTTCCTTGGGTGATTTACAGACAAGTATTAGGGAGTGTAGAAGGATATACCTTTCTTAGTAAACTCTATATGGCAATAACACTGTTATCCAAACTGAGTTAAACTTGGATAGCTAACTTTCTAACAAGCTTAGTATCAGGAAAAGTGGTTTAAAATGGGACTTGTCACAGAAATTGTAAAGGTTCGTTGTCAAGTCTAAGATGTTTTGAAATCTAGATGTGTTTCAGGAAAGGAAGTTGTGGGTTTTGAGTACTGTACATGTACAGAACTTATTAAAGAGTCACACTGGAGTAATACATAGAACTAGTTGATTTCAAAAAGATCACAGTAAATTGTACATGTAATTTTATGAGTGTGGGAGATTGTTGAGATTATCAACCTTTTTAAAGACTGTGGTTTTTATGAACAAGGAAGGAAACAGTGTTAGGAAGTGGTTCGAGTTTTACGTTAGTGAGTAGATTTAACTGTAATAAACAGAAGGCCGACTGTTAGTGAGTAGATTTAACTGTAATAAACAGAAGGCCGACTGTTAGTGAGTAGATTTAACTGTAATAAACAGAAGGCCGACTGTTAGTGAGTAGATTTAACTGTAATAAACAGAAGGCCGACTGTTAGTGAGTAGATTTAACTTTAATAATCGGAAGGCAGACTAGTAAAACGTCCCTGATGTTCGTGTAAGATACAGAGTATGTTTATCCCTGTGAATTCCTGTTTTGTAGAGAAATAGATGATGGATCTGTTGTGTAAAGTCTAGTTCTTGTTCAAGGACATGGATTTTCAGTAGATCTTTACTTCATGTATTAATATTTTATAATTTATTGTAATATATTACAAAACTCAGCATTAACATGTATACAACCAACATACTCTGGGGGCAAAATATTTTTGTACCACTCTTATGTAATGCCCACCATTTTAAATGTAATATTTATTTTTAATAAAATGAATTGCTAGTCTTTGATTGTAAGTAGTGCAATATACTCTACACATAGCCATTGTATTGAAATCGTTGATTATAAATTATTAAAGGAACAATAACATATAAGAAGAATTTTCATGAATGGTTGCATCTTTCACCTCGGCATGTCAGAAAAAATGTGTTTCAATGTTCATTGTGTCTGTGCTATCAATTGATTCTGGAGAGTTCGGAATAAACTTCCCTTTGAAATACTGTGTTTTTGCTATCATAACTATCATAAACTAGTGCTAATTGTAACGGGGACCGTTACAGATGTTCCCCAAACGCTCCCCAACTCCCTTTTATAATCATATTCCCTGTAGGCGTAATTAAATAAGACAAACTCTATGCATTTGAGACTTTAACAACGTTACCAAGAAGTGTACCATGTTCATTCAAATTTTATTATTGCACACTTGCGCATGTGAATGCATGTGCGTAATGACCATATCATATTGTCTACACAATCTATATATTTTAATATGCTAAATATAATCCAAAAGTACGAGTATATAAAAAAAAACGGTCATTCAAGTTTATTTTTTATTTTACCCATTTCACATGCACGCACGTGCATACATGAGCATGGTGACCATACATTCTTGTAGAAGTCCATTACATCTATCTATGTTCTAAACCCCACCCCGTTTGGTTGAAAACCAAGGGAGTTATACCTGTTTAAAGTTTCAGCCAATCAGATTGCAGCACATGTACACGCACATGTATGCATGTGCATAGTGACCATACCTTCTTGTAGAAGTCCAGTATATATATCTATGTTCCAAATCCCATCCTGTTTGGTTGAAAACCAAGGGAGTTATGGCTGTTTAAAGTTTCAGCCAATCAGATTGCAGCGCACGTACAAGCACGTGTATGCCTGTGCATGGTGACCATACCTTCTTGTAGAAGTCGATTATATATATCTATGTTCCAAATCTTATCCTGTTTGGTTGAAAACCAAGGGAGTTATAGCAATTTAAAGTTTCAGCCAATCAGATTGCAGCGCACGTGCATGCACGTGTTTTCATGATAATTGCTATATAACATGTTGTAGGATATCCTTATGCATGGCTATGTTCAAAGTTTCAAAGGATTTCGTCAAAAAACAAGAAAGATATAGAGACTTTAGTTTCAGCCAATCAGAGCAAAGCGCACGTGCATGCGCGTGAGATCTTGCTATTTTGACCATGTCATCTTGTCTATAGTACTAATATATCTTTACACTATGAGTTTCAAAGCATTTCATCAAAAAATAGAAAAGTTAAGGCAATATACATTATATTGGTCATTTCACGTGATGCACGTGCGCGCTCTTGCAAGCACGTGCGCACAAAATGACCTTGATTCCGCAAATCTACATAACATGTCTACTGACCCTAAAAAGGTTTTACCTACATCGGATCAACAGTTTACAAGATCACTCCCGGACAAAAAAGTACCCAGGAAGAAGAAGAAGAAGAAGAAGAAGAAGAACTAGAAACGAAACTCGTTGCGAGCAACGAGAGGTCTTCCGTCCGATTCAGTTAAAATCAAACTGAAAAAGTGATTTTAAAAATCGGACACACGGGGGACCGAACCCAGGTTGCCAACGTGAAAATCCATTGCAGTACCCATTACACCTTTGGGAACCCGCTTCAAATTTAACATTCGAATATCGCGAGATTGCTTATTTTGATTCCAACATACATAACATTTTTTTTAAAAATCAGTTTGGAATTGTAAAATGACAGCCAGCTTGCTAAACTTTGCTCAAGATGATCACATCGGAATCTGTTACTTGAGTTTTAACAGTAACTTTTAGGTAGATAATCTATTAGTGATGAACAGATGATACTGTTTTCTTTCCTTTTTTCGATATGTATTCAACTTTTTATTCCATGCAACTCCATAAACAGGCATGCCAATGTTATATATTTCTACACTCTTGTCACCATTTGTCTACTACTTAAGTCGGGTCATGATACATTATTTCATGCGAAACGTCACAAGTAGTTCTTAACGCTATTCCTTTGAAATATTTGATCTATTTGATGGATTTGATAGCTTCAATGAAAATTAGAAATGTATGTTCTTATAACCGGAATTTCGAACGTTAGAAAGTATATTTTAATTATCACATTATACAAATATAATATCGTATACGGCCAAGTAACACTAAAATGTATTTTGTATCCTGTTTTCCCCCAAAGTGGAGTTGAGTTACACGTTCATGAAAAGACTGGAATGTTTCACTGAAAAAAAAATCACTCGCCCTCCGACGGTCAAGGAATGTGATACTATTTATGTTCAATAACTTGCATTTATTACAAGAATATTTATACCCGGTATAACCTTTAATAAACAATCTTTTAAACAAATGTTTTTCTTATTTTTGTCTTTTCTATTCATTTAATATGTCACAAGCCTGCGTGGAAAAATAAACAGAAGTCAAGTAATACTTCAGAAACATAGTGAATATTAAGTCAGGCAAGTTTCTTGAAAAGCTATTACTTATAACCATGGTTTAGGATAAGTTTTCCCTGGTGCAAAACAAAAGATTGTTGTCATCGTATTTCCACTTGTAGTCATGTTGTATTCTACTTTGAGATGCAGACAAAAGCAATTTCAATAGACGTTTGAGGAAAACTCATATTAAAACAATACTCAATGCAACGTAACTGCGATGTAGCAATCTAAAGAATCCTTTACACCCCTACTAATGTGTTCGGAACCTTTTATTTTTCGGTGTTCTGCAAATTATAAAACCCGATGAGTTCAGAGTAGCTCTGGCAGTGGCTCTGGCGAGAGTTAGCGAGACTTCAGCGAGATAGGGTAAATTATTCACGGAAATGTGGTTAGGAAGTGACTAGCACGTGGAGGCATGGTAAACAGAAAAGTTATATTGCGTTTCAGTTTTCACCACCCTAGAATCAGCTGATAATATACTAGTATGTAGAAATGTTCTTCAATCAATCGATCTCTTTTACATTCATCAAAACTTATATAAGTATTCTCTATAATACAATTTTATGCAGTCATGAATTAAAATTTCTTTTTAAACAAATATTTTTTGCATGGGAACCGGGACTATATTTTTTGGCGTCAATTTAGCAAATGAGGCACCAGCATGATTTTAACTGACCAATCAGCTGAATGAGTATTGCATTATGGGTTACTACGAATACTACAGGAATTTTACGCTTGAAATGAAAGGAAAAATCTTATGCTAAATGAAAAGCATTTTTAAAAATATTATTTTCATGCTTATAATGACAAACAATTCATTTGTTAAATTAACCGCGGAAGTCTAGGTTTCTGAAAGTCATACTGCAGAAGCGATTTGCGTCTGTATTAATTCCTTTGTTGTACTATCGGTGAATACAATTGCCAGGTGAATTTCCTGGCCGAACACGTGATCACGAACTTAAACAAAGTTTTGTCCATTTAAATGCATAAGAGATGCTGCTCGTTTTCCTTACCCTTGAAGTGCTGGTGTTCTAAACTAGACACAAACTACATTTTATTAAACATTTTTTCTATTTAACAACAAATTAAAAACGCCCGTAACATCTTTCCTAGTTTCTTATCTTTGTATTTTGTTCGTAAGAACATTTTTTTTTATTTTGCAGTCCATTAACATGATCGTAGATTGACCTGAACTACGTGTTCGAAGTAAAATGTAAACATGTACATGTATTTGGCGTAAACATTGCTATTCATTCAACGATTGGTCAGTTGCTCGTGGTAAGATCCTCTGTGCGCATTTATAACAATAGCCATATAAGGCAAACAAAGGTTTGTCAGTGTAGATGGTTATTCACATTTTTTACCAGCGAATCGGTCAATAGTGAGCTTTAATTTTCGCCGAAAAGTATAAGATATATTGTTATTTTTACACCCCCTCCTTTAGCCACCCTTTGTCAGTTGAAAATCTTGAAAGTCTTTCAGAGAGGTCTGGAAACATTTATTACAGAACATGTTTTCAAAAGAAACAGGCTATAGCAATATCATGTTTACTGCAAATTTTATTTATAAAACCGGTTCTACCCTATAACCTTTGAATAGATCAACCTAAACCACGTGTTTTGAATTTAAATCACAATAACATTAGTAGGGGTGTTTACATTTCATAAATCTTTTTGGTAGAAGTTTCATTCATCTAAACGCTCAACTGACCTTCTAGAACCCGACTTGCTTAATGGCGGAGTTCACGGAGACGCCCCGCCATCTTGGACACGCTTCAGATTTTTAAATGCAAATATCTAGTGTGTGGATTGATCAATTCTAAAATAAATTATATATTAGGCCTTTCCAGTAGGGTCTCCATTAACATTAATTATATCAAAGAAAAATATTGAAAAACAAAAAAAGTTGAAAAAGTGCACATTTTGAATTCACTTCCTGTAGCGACCGGAAGTACTGACGACGCAAACGAAGGCAAAATTGCACATCTAGAAGTCATGGTCTATCATCTCTAATAAGTCTCCAGTTAATATCTTTAGCCATTTTCGAGAACACTCGAAGACAAAATTGCATTTTAAAATCAGGAAATTGCCCATAACTTGGCACTGGTACCGAATTTTCCAACAAACGGAATTTTATATAAAATTCATATAATGACCTATAATTTCTGAAATTTTCATTGAAATCCACCGAATAGCTTACGAGAAATCGCCTGCACAAAATTTTGTCTAAAAAAAAAGAATAATAATAAGAAACAATAGAATCACTATAAGGTCTTCCGTGAAGACGGAAGACCTTAAAAATAATAATAACTAGAATCTTGTTGCCATGGCAACAAATAAGTCTTCCGTTCTTCTAAATCTGTAAGAATTTGCTTTTTTCTCTGCAAAAATAGATATCATATGTACTCTGAAAGAAAAAAAAACTGCAAAAAGGTCTTTCAGTACTTAAGGTACTTTGATTTTCATGACCAATCTTGTTCTTATGCATTTTAGCACTCATAAGAGCTACATGTGTATCATAGACAAACCATCGGACGAACGAACACCGTACTCTCATAAACTTCACTGTGTTTATGTTCTGGCACAATTGTGATGGTGTTATAAAAATGTCATGAACTAAGTTAGTACCACATTAAACGTAAAGTCGTTGATTTTTAAATTAATAATATCGAGATTTGCCAGCAGAAAGATTATTCAATTACAGGAATTATTCAGCAATCGATTAATTGATTATATGTTGTTTAACGTCCCTCTCGAGAATTTTTC